GGAATTCTGCAGTTTTTAGGATGTATCACTTTTTTCCACTATAGGTATCTGTTGGGTGATCTTAAATGCTTCCTCCAAGGAGAAGTATTCATTTATACATGAAACGGTTGAGAGTAAAACACCTCACAGAGTTTGGCACGTTGCAAAAAGCTACCAAAGTAAAATGCTATCTCCTCTCCTATCATAGTTTATATCTCAGTTTTGTGGATATTGGGTCTAACTTTCAGAATGCTAAAAATGTAACATTTCATCTTCAGTCAGTCAGTACTCTTGTCTAAGCAGAAGGTTTTGTGATGGCCCCATACATGACAGTGCTTATTTAGTCAGGTGGCTGGTAATTTTTATTTGAGGCATAATTGATCTTCTTTTTAATAAATTGCCCCAAATTTAAATTGCAAAAGTAGTTTCCTTTTCCTCTTCTATTAAGAAACAGATTTAGAATAACTAAAAAAAAATCTACACTTGAGAATACATTGAGTGGCCAGATTATTATGAACTCTGATGCATAATAATCTGGCCACTCAGTGTGTGTGTGTGTGTGTGTGTGTGTGTGTGTGTGTGTGTGTGTGTATTAGAGGCCTGGTTCATTAATTTGTGCATGGGTGGGGTCCAGCCAGCCTGTCCAGAGGGAGGGGACATGGGCATTTGGCCAGCTTGCTGGCTGGTCGAGGGGATAATTTGCATATTAGCCTTTTATTATATAGGATATACACTGAGTGGTCAAATTAATAATATGCGTTCAGAGATCATAATAATCTGGCCACTCAGTGTGTGTGTGTGTGTGTGTGTGTGTGTGTATGTGTGAGAGAGAGAGAGAGAGAGAGAGAGAGAGAGAGAGAGAAAGGAAGGAAAGAAGGAAGGAAGGGAGGAAGGAAGGAAGGAAGGAAGGAAGGAAGGAAGGAAGGAAAGAAGAAAAAAACATAGATGTGCCACTGACTGGGACCAAACTACAACCTAGGTATGCGCCCTAACCTGGAACTGAAACCGAAACCTTTAGGTGTACGGGATGATATCTAACCTACTGAGCCTCTTGGCCAGGGCCGATTCAGGCTTCCTTTTAAGAAAAGATGTGTTATACCTGTTTCAAGATAACCAGTTGTCTTGCTGGTTAAAGCTTTTCCAGGATGCTGTGTTTGGCCTTTTGCTCAATTACATTAATCCTCCCTCTTATTTTGTAGTTTCTTTAGACTTTGGAAAAGTGGTCACTTATTTTTCACTAAGCCCCAGTAAACTGCCTTTGGTTATTTTGGGCTGCTTGGTACATGTAGCACTAAGAGATTTGAAACAGAACCAATGAAGCAATAGTGACCTGAAGTATGCTCTTAATTTGATTAACATGATTCTATTTTAACATCTATGGGGCAAAAATCTATCAGTGGTTAAAATCTGTCTTTTTTTTTCTTTTTTCTTTTCCCCTCTGACAAGACACAGAACACAGCATGAATTGTTTTAATGCTGATGTTGGAAAAACAGAAAATGCTTAGTGAGTGGACAAAAAATGATGAGGTTTGGACAGTGATGTTATGCTTCACATTCTGTATTTAAAAGAACTTGTAACAGTTTTATGTCTGCTTTGTGGTGAGAAAAAAGGAGGGAGGGAGGGAGGAAGAAAAAGGGGGGAGACAGAGACAGAGAAAGAGAGAGAGAGACTGGCTTGTATGATGTAGAGGTTAAGTACCAGGGAGCTTGCCAGAGTGTGACTCATGCTCCTCAAGGCTTGGTGATGCAAGGCTTTCTGCTGCCTTCTCATTCATGTCTGTTTTCAGGGACAGATCATTGGGCTGGTGTGTGTCAAATTTTTATTTTTATCTCTCCTTTATTGACAGTGAAAACAGCAAGGAGGTCAGTCTGCCACGGTAAAGCAAAATGCTTTCATTTAAAATATCTTGGTGCCAAATGAATACGGTTTGTTCAAATAATGACTTTGGCTCTTACTAAGAAAAATTGATATTGGGACACAGGAGATTTGCCTGGTTTCTGAGGTAACTTGGTAGATTATAATCTGGTTGCCATAGCAACCCAGTAGCTGGAAAAATTACAGGAACTAAACATTCGAAAGGAGGTATTTTATTTAGTAGCATGCTTAAAAGCCCTTTACCTATCATCTTTCTCTCTGAAGAAGTGGGATGGGGGGAGGGGGGTCTAGAATTGGCTTAACAGAAGCAAGAGGTGAAGACATAAATGACTTTCGGTGGCCGGATGCATCTTTGAATGTGGTCTGGTGTCAGTAACCGCTATCGAACCATTATAGACACACTTTTTATGCAATATGGTAAACACATGATGTGACAGAATCTGGAACCTCATACCCCAATTCAGCAATCCCTTTTTGTGCCTGGGACTTTTGATAATACTGGTAAATTGTATTTTTAGAACCAGCATTCAGGACTAGTATGGCATATGAATTTGGGGTTGTCAAAGAATATCTGGAACATAGTCTTAATGTCCAGTGGTTTCCTCCCTCCCCCACCTCTCCATATATTATAGGCATCTTCCTAAAGGTATAAACATCAAGCAGGTGGTTTCTGCTCTATTACAGTGATGTTAGAATTTCCCTGTGGACTTTTGAAAAGGCATGAAAATTTTCTTTATTGGAGTATTGTTTCATTCCATTGTAGTCAAATTATGTTCAATGTTTATATAAAGATAAAGTTAAATCACAACTGTTTTCATGTTAAGAATGACTAAAAAGCTCACTTTCAGGGAATTCTTACTATTTGCAACAGCATGGATGGAACTGGAGAGCATATGCTAAGTGAAATAAGCCAGTCAGAGAAAGATAAATATCACATGATCTCACTCATTTGTGAAATATAATGAACAACATAAACTGATGAACAAAAATAGAACTAGAACCATAGAAGCATCAAACAGATTGTCTAACCTATGAGAGAAGATGAGGGATTAGGGGAAAGAGATCAACAAAGGACTTGTATGCATGCATGTGAGCATAACCAATGGACACAGATAGGGGTGGGGGCAGAGGGCATGTATTAGGGGGTGGGGACAGCCAGTGAGAGGTCAGTGGGGGAAAAAGTAGACTTATGTAATACTTCAAACAATAAAGAATTTAAATTAAAAATAAACAAAGCTCAGTAAAATCACACATACACACACACACACACAAAATAAAAAGCTCACTTTCAAGAAAGCAATTGAAATGCTTTAGTCATTCTATAGACACCAAGGGATTTCCTTTTCAGTTCTTGAAATGGCACAATATGCTTACATTGGTGAGAGTTTTGAATATTTAGAACTGAAAGATTATTGGGGAGAGTTTTGAATATTTAGGGCTGAAAGATTATTGATGCAGTTATGGTACAGGAAAAATAGATCATGTTGAAATAACTGTAATAATTCAAGGTAATGAGAAGCACCAGGGATGAAGTTTGGATTACTTTTTGCTGAGTGATCCTGTTTTCTTCAGTTAATGTATTTCCTGATATTGAACATTTTTAATATGCCAGTAGTGTCTCCTGTGGCGAATTATTAGAAGAATCAAAATGCATGGGTATTAAAGGTTTAGTTTTTAAAAGTGGAATTTTTTTTCAATACATTTACAAAACAGATAAGTTCAATTTGCAAAACATGTTATTATACTACATGCGGTTTATATAGTAAAAAAAAGTTGACTTTTTAAATTACATGTAAAGAAAGCTTAATTTATAAGTGAATTATTTGCAGTGGTTTTCCTTATGTTTTACAACTCTCAGTCACTAAAAATTATTGTTGGGCATTTATCTGGTATCAGGCATAGTTTTGAACATTTATTTTGTGCCAGATCTTATGATTTTAGAGCCTAGATTAAAGAAGGAAAGATAGACACTAACATAATTGCTTAATTAAGTAATTGTAATTATAAATTTTAGGAAGGAAAAGTGGAGGTTTTTTTTTTTTTTAAAAAACAAACAAACATATTTTTGGGGCCCTGACTTTCCCTTAGAGTCAAATGCCATTTCTTAGGCTCACAAGGATGAGTTGGTGTAGGTGTTAGTTGGGGAAAGAGTAAGATGCGTACTGGGCAAAGATTAAGGAGTACAGGAAGAGCATTACAGGCAGTGGGAACAGTAACTTGATGATTTCAAGGCAGAGATCAAGGCTTGCTCCAAGAACTAAGATGAATGATACTTACATCTTTCCAATTTCTAAAAATATATAGTAATTATTTTATTAGTGTCAATCTTGCACATAATTTTTAACCACAGTTTTTAAGCATGGGTTATGTTCTTTATTTTGTATTTACATATAAATTAGTGACCTTTTCTCTTTTTATCTAAAGAGGAACTGCATTAGATTAGAACTAAAACTCTGAGACTCTTGAAAACATGCATGGTGTCCAGTCTTTTGGAAATTGTCTTCTAATATTAAATATTTATGTTCATATGACCAAAACACTGACATTTAGGAATGGATTTAAAAATCTGAGTGCTTGGTGGGAACTACTTATAATATTTACTTATTTATCTTGTACTGTTCATTATTATTTCCAGATCCTATACACAGATGCTTTTTCCAAACTTTTTTTTTTTTTTTTTTTTTTTTTTTAGTAAATTGCTTTCTATTGTTACAAAATAAAAATCATATAGCCCATGGCAGTAAAAGACACATGGGAATATTATGCAACAGTTTTAGGTCAGAACCTAATTTCTCTGTGCAATTTTCCTTTATAAGTATGGTTTCTGGTCTTTTAATTTTTTAATTGCTGTCTGAATTAGTGAAACAATAAGAGGAATTGTGTGAGAGGAAACCATATCTTAAAATTGAGATTTGAGTCACATAGCATCATAAGCAACACTGGAGAATTCACTTAGCTAAATTCAAATGCATATACTTAGTCCCCTCACATTTGAACCAGGTCTGAGACATATCCTAAATTTTGTGTTGATTCAAGATTCTGTGCCACATACTTCCTGTCTAAAACATAAATTTAGGTAATAAAACTGTTAGAGAAATCACAGATGTTCTAGTACTAAATTGAAATTAATGTGTTATTTTGGCAGGTTATTCTTGTTCAAGTTAATCCAGGTGAGACTTTTACAATAAGAGCGGAGGATGGAACACTTCAGTGCATTCAAGGTAAGAGATTTTTTTTTTTGGAAGCCTTCTAATCAAATGAGTTTTTCTTTATTATTTTAACAAAGTAGAGTGTTTTTCTGTGTCTATCTATGGTTTTTCTAGAAATAAAATTTATCTTGGAATTAAAATTTTCTTTTTCTTTCTGTCAAATAGGGACTCCTTTATGCTGATGTAGACGCTGAAATAAAAGAGACATAGTTAAATATCTCTAGTATTCTATTGACCCTTAAGTGCATTAATTTAACTTGGGAAAGCTTGCAGGGTTTTATAGATTATGGAATTTAGTAGATCTAAAAAATTGAAAGTACTTTTTTAAATTAGATAAAAGATTTATACTTATATTGTGTGATGTTATCCAAATGATGATTTTATAGGTAATATCTTTATTAACGATCTGTCATTTATTATCAGATCGATATTAACAGAGTACTCCCAGGTTTGGTGGCTTAAAACAACATTTATTGTCTTATAGTTTCTGTGGGTCAGGAATTTGGGCACAGTTTAGCCGTGTTCTATGGCTCTGGCCTTTCAAAATGTTAAAATTCAGGTATGGCCTAGAGCTGCAGTCATTTTAAAGCATGTGTGGGTCAGCCTTTTTTCAGGCTTGCTCAAGTGGTTATTGGCAGGATTTAGTTTTTTGCAGGGTATTGGCAGGAGGTATCCTTCAGTGTTTTGCTAAGTGGTTCTCCATAGGGACACTTGCATTCTTGGCTTCATCTCAGCAGCAGGTAGAGGGTAAAAGGCAATACTAAGTTCAGCCCACTCAAGAAAGGGATTTAGACAGGGTTGCCTATCATCCAGCAGGAATATTTGTGGACCATTTAAGCTGCCTACCCACCTTCTATACTCCACTCTAATAATTCATGTCCCTCCCATATACAAAATACCCCCTCCCAGGATTTCCAAAGTCTCATTCCAATATAGCATCAACTAGAGGCTCCTTGGGTGTAGTTCTTTAACTGGGTACAGCTCATTGGGCATTTCATTTAATTTCTAGTTTGTGTAATACCAGTGTCTCTTCCCTGTAGTTCACTTTGGAAAGAATACTTAGATACTCTGATCCATAATGAATTCTGTTGTAGGAAGATCAATCCAGATCTGAATTAACCTGTAAACACTTGTGTTGGAGACCACTGTTCGGGATGGCTGTTTTGGGCAGTGATTGGACCTATGGCAAATTGACATATAATTGAGTTCATTATTAGGTTATTGATTGGACTGGAGTCTGATCATAGGGTTGATTTTTATTTGTTAAAATATTTTATTTTTTTATTTTTTATTAAGGTATTATATTTTATGTGTACACATTGATTTTTAGAGAGATGGGAAGGGAAAGGGAGAGAGAGAAACTCATGTGAGAGCAAAACATCAGTTGGCTGCCTCCTGCCTGCCTCTCGGCATGTGCCCTGACTGGGAATTGAACTGGCAACCTTTTGGTGCACTGGACAGTGTCCAACCCACTGATCCTAGGGCTTGTTTGTAATACCTGGACTTGCTTATCATTATATTAACAAATGAGGGGAAATGCCCTTGTTTGGTTTTCTATAATGAGTTAAATGGAAAAGGTTGATTTTTATATTGTTTTCCATAATGGAGCATGCTGCTTTGTAAGTTCACTACTTGTTTTTGTACCTATATGAACACAAATTTAGGAATTTTTTTTTTTTTTTTTTTTTTGAGAAGTGAGTGTTGGCTCACTTTTTTTTTTTTTTTTTTTTTTTTTTTTTTTAAGATTTAAGCCTAATGAGTTTTAATTGCAGTTAATTTGAAGTGACTTAACCATTCTGTTAGTAATTTTTACTAATTGCATTTCTCTGGCCATTATGTCCCTGAAATTCATCTGTGGTGTTCTAAACTAATGGTCGCCAACCTTTCGGACCTCATGGACCATCAGTGGTCCGTGGACCACTAGTTGGAGACCGCTGTTCTAAACCATTTCAAACCAAACCTAGTTTTTATTGACAAAAGCTTCAGGTCAAAGAAGAGAGGAAATTAATATTTTAAAATAGTGTGGGACATAGAATCTTCTATCTCCATATAGTACTTTAAAAGATGGCTATTATCAACAAATGAAACTTAGAATTCAATCTGTATGTTTAAAAAAGTCACACCAGATGAAAAGTCACTTCACCTGTTAGAATAAAGCAGATGTTTACAGTTCAGTGAGAAAGCAGTTGAGCCTCTGGGCATGGTATCATTGGAGCCTCCTGAATTGGCAGGTAAACCGTGTCCCTCTACAACTGAGTATGTATAACAATCTATAAAAGCAAATTGCTGAGTAGTTCAACATCTATAAAATCCACACTTCCATGCCACCTGCTTTTACTTCTTGATGTCTGAGGAGTGTGTGTGTGTGTGTGTGTGTGTGTGTGTGTGTGTGTGTGTATTCGTCTACTTAGCCTCTCCCTCACTTTTGAGTGAGTCCATGTCAGTAACTGGTATACTCTGTAGGGAATGTTGCAAGTATGTTGCTCCGTTCACAATGGGAGCTTTGTATTTATTCATGATGATACTCGGAGATAAGTGACACTACCACGCCTTCCAGTGATTTCAAAAATGCCTTTGACTAAAGCCATTTAGCTTTGGCTTCCCCAGCCTTCCTATTCTTTGTTCTCTTCTGAAAACCCCATGTTATGGTTATCTTTATTTTGGGCATGGTGGTACCTGGGCCAATTAATTGAAATGACACAGGACAAGATGAGAGGGACTAGGAACTGGAATCACATGGTTTGTCAGGCTCGGGAAGCACTGGGGGAACAGGATGAACAGTAGAATCTGGAACTTTGAGTCCAGTTCCATTGATTGCCTCTAATGTATAACTGGTGATCACTCAGCACCCCTACTCCTGAAAGCCTTAATTTAAATAACTCCCCATGTGAGTGAGTGAACCCTTGACTCCAGGAGAGTAGGGCATAACAACACAGAATTTGGGAATAGACAGAATATTTACAAATTCTAACACAACTTAGATGTAACATCCCTAACATGGTTATTATTTATTCAGCTTTTACACTGTGCTACGTATTTAGTCATATTTAATGGATTGATAGGTACACATGAGGCCTGTGACGGTTGATTCACACAGCCTAAGTCACATAGCTGGAAAGAGGCAGTATGGAGCTTTCATCTCTGGTCTATCTGACTCTCGAGTTTGAGATCTTTATTGCTCAGTACATGGAAGCATGAACTCAGATAGTAGGTCTCCTTGGGCATATGACAAGAGCAAGGTGGGTTCCTGTTCCTGGAATAACAGGATTCTGGGCAGGATACCAGGATGGGTACTGATCGCCAGGATGAGATAGAGATGGTTTGCAGAGCAAAGGTGGATGCTGAAGACTGGGTGTTTATCAGAGTCAGAGCAGGCGGTGTGATATTGGGAGTATTGATTTTGAACTCCTTAAATTACTTCTGCCCCAAGTCAGGATTGGGCCCAGAGCGTTCAGGTAGGGCTTCCAGCTGCTGGAAGAGAAGGGGTACAATGGAGAGGACTAGAACAGTGGGAGGCAGTCTTTTCTGGCCTGCCTTTAAAAAAAACCATTAGGAAAAGATTGGAAATACAGTCATATTGTATTGGAAACTCCTGAAAGAAGCATTTACATTTTACTAGAGATTGAAGTTAAGAAAGCAAGCTCTGTTGATGCTCTTTCCACACCAGCCAGCAGGTAGGGAAGTGGTTTTGGTGGTGGTGGTGGTGGTGGGGCAATGTTTGGTGGTGGTCTTCCTGGAAATGTTGAAGTCATACTTGTTGTTAACACCATGGTTGTAACTGTCAGCTGGAGAAGTTTGCTGTTTCGGCACCAGTCAGCAGGTTTGGGATTGATGGTGCGGAGATAGGGTTAGGGAGTGGACTGGGTTGGGGGCCTTCCTGGAAACTTTGAAATTACATGTATAATGTTAACCCCTTTTGCTTGTAGTTGAATTTGTTTTCCTAATAATATTTTCTATTGGACATTTATGGCATCACAAGAAAGACCTAAGAAGCTCGTTGTGATGTCATGGAAAAGCAGTCTGGAAATTCAAAGCAAATCAATATTAAAAAATGGTTACTCTGGGGAAAAAAAACAAGATTTTGTTTTTATGGGAATGTCCTTGGTGATAATGAAGGAAGAAAAACACAGGAAACATACGATATGCTGTGAAAGCAGATTCATTCTAATGGACTATTTCTCAATATTTTCCATGAAACATGAATCATAGGTCTTGAAGGGGCCACAAAAGGTCATAGTATATTCTCACTGGGAGGCTGCATTCTACCTATGGCATCCTAGACAAAGAGCTGATTGTTAGGGAAAAAAGAATCTTAGCAATCAATATGAATTCTTGCCTTTGCTTAAAGTCAGGAATTAATAGTGGGCAGCTGCAGGTTTCTCCCATTATTTTCATATCCTTGTCTGGGCTGCGGTGCTGGCAGTGCAGCTTTCCTTCCTGCCCACACATGCCATCTTTTTATCTGGGCCATTCCTCTGCTCTCTGTAAAATCTTTCAGCCAAAACAAATACAATACTTCCTTTAAGGCTCTAGTCTGTCTCCTCCAGGAGCCCTCCTGTACCGCTGCGTTTCATCCTGACCTTTCTCTGCATTTCTGGGGGAGCAGGCAGAGGTTGCTCTGCATAAAACAGTCTGGCTGTTTGTGCAGACCTTTCCTTACCCTTGAATTAGACTATGAACTCCGTTGTGACAGGAAACTGTACACACCCCCCCCCCCCCCCCCCCCCACCGCCTGATCTCTCAGCACGCAACCTGATTGATAATTACTGACTAGACCTTGACTGGCCCTGGCATCACATCACCTCAAGTGTGATGATTTTTCTCTTACATTTTATTATTGTCCTGAAGCTTAAAGATGTCTAGTTAGGTGCTTTTGGCAGTCCCGAAGAATTCTATAGGAAAATTTTCTAATTCAAATACATTGTTAATTGAAACTAATCTGTTTTCTATATGGAAACATGCTTAGAGTCTGAAGAACTTTCGTATTGATCCTATAATAATAATATATTTTC